CTAGCTCAGGGAGAAGGGGGGTCCAGTTGCTTAAGGGCAGGGCTGAATGGTTGAGGGCACCAAAGGTGCAAGTCCAAGTTGGTACTGAAGTATGTTTTATTTATATTAGGGGCGCCACCTTGTTTACCTTTGTAGCCAAGCAGGATATTAACAAGGACCATTCCTGCAGGAGTAGGACCGCTTTAGTGTAACCTCTACCATCAGATAAAGAAAAAAAAAAAACAAAGTGCTTGTCTGTGATTTGCAAAATAAATTCAATATAAATCTCAAATAAATCTTATAAACACTAAACTCAAACACTAGCCTAGTAAAAACCTGACTGAAATGTTTTTAAGTTGAGCACTAAAAGTTTAAATGGTATCAGAAAAACTCTAGGTAAAATCTAATAATACTTGGTCAAGTTGATAAGCAAACAATAAACAATGTAACTCAGATAAGCTTTGCTCAGTGAATCTTTCTGTAGGTTCAAAATATAATCTAAGTCAGGAATGTGTACCCAGAAGTAGGCAGAGATAAAGAGATCAAATAATTCTGGCTAAATATTCTTTAATCTCTGAGAGTATTAAACACACAATAGGCCAAAATGCCAGAATTAAGAATAAACAATATTAATGAAATTATTTATGATTGACTTTTAAACAAACAATAGCAGCTCACAAATGCTGCTCTATTTCTAAGTATTGACTAAATCAAAACAGCTTACAGAATTCTGTCAAAATGTATAAGTCTTAAGAAAATCAATTTAATAACTCAGAATTTGTAAAACTTTCAAAGTTGGAGCGCTCCAGTGAATATTTGACCATTACCAAAATATGATGTGATTATATGACAATCTTAACCTAAAAACATGATCCCATAAGAATATTACATAAGAACAACACATGGTATAGACCCTGAAATATAGACATAATATTGACGCTGAAATATAGACACAATCCTTTACCCTGAAATATAGACAAAAAAAAATTACACTGAAATATAGACACGATAATTATCAACAAGATTCACAAAATAATACAATATACAAGGGCCTTGCCGTTAAAATTCAATGTAAATCAACAATTCTTAAAACTAAATGATTATCTCCTTTGTTGGCGCTGAAGTCCAGTAGAGTCTATAGTAGGGCTGGTCACTCACACTCACTCTTAGAAGGAAAGTGTTCAAGTCCAGAGAGAATCCCAAATGGTAAGTATAAATTGATTAAAGCAGATAACTCACCGCAATGTCCAGTAAGGTTACGATATCCGGTTCGGACCGATTCGAATTCACGAACCACACGAGTATTACCAAGTCACAGGGTATCGCAAGGATTGAACCAGGGCTCACAGGTCGAGAAGCCACTCCAGAGATACGGTAGAAGGCACCAGCCACAACAGGATCCGGCATAAACCCTCAGCTACTTCAATTGTAAGTCAGCATTAAATCCAACGATGATGTCGGAGGGTCAGCACTATTAACAAATATTAAACTAAAAGTAGGTGATCCTCACTCTTCAGAGACTCAGTTCAGACAGACACAAATCATTTTCAAGGTAATTTTCCAATATGATGCCACAGCCAAGTAGATAACATCGGTGAAGAGATAACGTTTGCCAAACGATAAGGAGGCATTGAAGTGAAAGTGGTCTAGCGTCAGGAATTGTCATGGCACTGGCCAGTATACTGGATTATGGAATTTTCCTTGCCCCTCAACTAATTAGAAGCACAACTCATGACATCAATGTTCTTAATTTGCAAAATTCGACTACTGCAGGCGCGCACAACAGTATGTTAAATTTTTTAATTGTTGGGTGATCAGTCCAACAAAATTTCGAAATAGTGGGCAATTTAAGAATAAAATGTCACAAACACTCCCCTTCCTCCAGAAAATTTCTTAAATTTTCTACTATTGAAGGTATTTCTTTAAGTCAGCAATGTGCCATTTGCCAATTTCTTTTCCTTGAAGGTCAGCTAGAGAGTACACCAATGGTGAAATCTTGCGGGTTATTCGAAATGGTCCAACATATCTTGGGGCTAGTTTGGCGGAAAAGAACTTTGATGCATCAGATTGTGGGAAGTTCTTCTTTAGTACCAGATCATTGACCTTGTATTCAACATTTCTTCTACGAAGATTATATCTTGTTGCATTCTTTTGATGAGCCTCCTTGAGTCTGTCTGAAACTTCCCGGTGAAAATTCTTCAGCTCGTCCAGTTTAGTGCCGTACTGTTCACAGTCTTCAACATCTGGAATATTTCCATTCTGAAGATTCTCAAATCCTGGTCCAGATATGGCAAGCTCCCGTCCAAAATTCAGGAAGGCTGGAGTATGCTGAGTAGTCTCATGATAGGCGGTGCGAAGTGCAAATCCAATCTGTGGGATATATTTGTCCCATTCACGGTGGTTTTCTTGAATGTAAGCGCGTAACATGGATACGATATCACGGTTGACACGCTCAGCAGGGTTTGCTTGGGGATGTCTACTTGCATTCAGGAGGATCTTACAATTATAACTCTGGGCTAACTTCTTCACAGGTCCACCAATATATTCGGATCCGTTGTCACAGATGATGTACTTAGGTATTCCAAACATCAGAAAAATATCTTCTTCAAGGTGTTGGGCCACCAGTCTTGAAGTAGCAGCTCTCAAGGGGCGTAAGATAGTAAACTTTGAAAATGTGTCGGTTACTACAGACAAGTATTTAAATCCTTTCAAGGACCGCGGAAAAGGTCCGATAAGATCAGCAGCTATCATCTTGAATGGTGCATCAACTCCACGGTGTTCACCCATCATCCCAGCAGGTAGTTGGTGATCATACTTGGTACATTGGCACGTATAACATCTAGATACAAAAGTAGCGACATCCTTCCTCATCTTCGGCCAGTAGAACCGTTGCTGCATCCTCTTGTAAGTCTTGAGAACTCCCTGATGACCGCAAGTCGGAGGATTGTGACATTCTTCAATGGCCCTTTGTCTCAGCTCCTTGGGTAGTACAAGTCTCCAAGCATCATCATCCAAGTTTGGATCCAGTCTGTCAACAGTCTTCCACAGTTCATTGCCTTTAACACACCACTGCTTGTAGTTTTCCTTGTTGTTGATAACTCGGGATATCATGTTGGTGTACCATCGATCCTTAATTTCTTGGGGTATCTCTATCAAGGCACAAGTCGCAACTGGTTCAGAACTTTGCTCTTCTGCAGAATTTTGGGGAGAGCGGGATAACATGTCTGGAACGACATTCTCCTGTCCCTTGCGATGAACAAGCTGAAAGTCATAAGGTTGAAGGCGAGTGGTCCATCTAGCTAAGCGACCAGCAGGGTCCTTTAAATTATTTAGCCATAAAAGACTATAATGGTCCGTGATCACAGTAAATCTTGTGCCTTCGACATAAGGTCTGTATCGTTCGATGGCCCAAATCACCGCAAGGCACTCACGCTCTGTGGCAGAGTAGTTTTGCTCTTGTCGGGTTAAGGTACGGCTGGCGTATGCCACCACTACTTCACCTTCCTCCAACTGCTGACTGAGAACAGCACCCAACCCATACCCTGAAGCATCGCACGATATGATGAAAGGCTTAGTGAAGTCCGGGCAAGTCAAAATTGGAGCAGAGATTAAACAATCCTTAATGTCCCTAAACGCTTTCTCAGCTTCCTCAGTCCAGTCAAATTTTGAGTTTCTCTTTAACAATGAAGTCAGAGGGTACATTCTGCCGGCAAAATCTTTGATGAATCTCCGATACCAGGAAGCGGTCCCGCAGAATTGGCGAACTTCCTTTTGATTCCTTGGAGTAGGCAGATCAACAATGGCTTTCACCTTGTCTGGATCAACATGAAGTCCATCTTCACTGACCACATACCCTAAATACCTAAGTTCCTTCCGACAGAATTGGCACTTTTCTTGGTTTAATGTTAATTTAGCTTCACGTATACGCCTAAATACTTCTGACAGTACTTCCAAATGTTTCTTAAAGGTAGGTGTTACTAGGATTATGTCATCTAGATAGACAAATACAAAGGGCTCCAGGTCAGGTCCAAGAACGTTGTCGACAAAACGTTGCCAGGTGGCAGGTGCGCCACAGAGTCCAAATGGCATTGTCACGAATTGGTAAAGTCCTCTCCCAGGGATGGTGAAAGCAGTCTTCTCTTTGCTTTTGTTCTCCAAAGGTATTTGCCAATACGCACTCTTAATGTCAAGACTAGATATGTATTTTGCATCCCGGAGTCTATCCAAAATCGAAGTTACATGAGGCAAAGGATAAGCATCTTTCTTACTAACGGCATTTACTTTCCTGAAGTCAACAATGAATCTCTTAGACCCATCAGGCTTATCTATGAGAAATATAGGTGATGACCATTCACTCTTCGATGGCTCTATCACACCCAACTCTAACATCTGTGAAAGTTCTTTGTCTATAAGTGCTTGTCTAGCAGGTGACGTTGGAAAATAGCGCTGTTTTATGGGTGGAGAGTCCCCGGTGTCAATGACATGATAAACTCTATCGGTGCGACCCAAAACTTTTGGTTCATCTTTAAAATGACTATCAATTAATTGTTGAAGATCTTTCTTTGCATCCGGTGACAGGTGTTGCTCAGATTTTATGCCCTCAATAGCACTACAATACATCTTAGGTTGAGAAGAAAAATGCCATTCACGATTATGAATGTCTGCTACAATGTGCATCCTCTCCCAGAAATCTATTCCTAGAATTAACGAATGCTGTAAATCTGGTACGACTAAAGCCTTTATGTATTCAGTCCGTCCCTTCAATGTAACTGGAAGAATCACAAATCCATCAATAGCATGTCTCTTGGCATCTGCAGTTTCAACAAACTGACTATTAATTTTGTGAAGACGCACAGGACATCCGTTCAGATTACGCATTCCATCTTTACCCAAGATAGTTTGAGATGCCCCTGAATCAAGAAGTGCAGTAAATTCCTTACCAAAAACTCTCACTGACAAATAAGGCCTGGAGTCATTTACCTGGGTCTCCATAACATAATCTAGCTTAATAGAAGGTGATTGTTCTTGGGAATCAGCCTCAGTTATGTAGCTGACTCCCGGCTCAGTCCGTTTTTTGAAACACAAGAAGGGCAATCTTTCTTTAAAATATTATCTTTTCCACATCCATAGCAGAATCTCTTCTTCGGTCGGGTACAATCTCTAAATCGGTGTCCTCTCATAGAACAGTTCCAACAAGTAAAGGGGAAGTTGTCTCCTGATGGACTTTGATGGATACTGGCTACTCGCTCTCCAGTCACTCTTCTGTGTCGGTATGGCTCTTGATATGCCAAGTCAGGTTCCAATGTAGTCTCACTCCTAGGCGAAGGTCTTGGTTTTGAAGTTCTAAGACGTCCCGCTTGTGCTCTTCGACCCATGAGACGCAATTCATCCAAACTCTTGATGTCTAGTAGGGCAAGTCTGTCTTGTAGTTGAGGGTGCAAATTATTAAATATTTGCGCTAGGCGACTTGTTTCCGGAATTTCAACTGATAGTCTCTCATACAAGCCTTCCATGGCAGCCATATATAAGTCTATTGGTTCTTGTTCTCCTTGGATACGGTTGAAGATCTCTTGTTGGAGACGGAAATCATAATCGGGAGGCTGGAAGACATCTCGCAATTCCTTACACAACTGAGGCCATGAGTGAATCCTACTAGTCGAGGCTCGATACCATACAAGAGCTGAACCCGAGAAAAGATCTACAGCTGATTCGAACAATTCGCTGTGAGTAACACCTCGTGCTCTGCGCAGTTCCTCAACTCTCTCTAAGAAGGCGGCTACACTTGATCCAGCATTATTATCAAATTTCAGCCCCCACTTATACACAGGGACATACTTAGGGCGATTGCTAGGGCTAGACTTCTCTTGATCGGTGTTACCAGATAGGTTAACTGAATTTCTCTGATCAGGCTGTTTATTCGGAATGTCTATCTTTTGAGGCAGGGGAGATAGTGGTCGTTGTTGCGGCAGACCATCTTTATTATTTGCAGCATTACTTGTTGGAAGTGTCAAAGACATCTGGGTCTTCACTGAGGAACTACCATCTTCTGTCTTCCGCATCAAGGTTGAAGGTGTAGTAGAGGTCTCATCTACAATCTTGGTGGGTTGGTCCGCTCCAATATTCTTGGTTGAAGTTCCTTGGTCTTTGAATGTATCTAAAAGCTCCTTTGTCTTTACTTCTAGTTCAGTTTTAGTTTTCTCTTGCTCATCATCACTTCCTGCTGTTCCAGGTATACGCCCAATTCTCAAATAAAGATGCCACAAGCGAGCTACTATCCGGTGATATTCATTATCCGTAAAGTTCCCTTCATAATCTGCCACGTTTGCTGACAAGTCCTCAAGTTTAGACTCACATTCTTCCAATTCTTCAGCGACATCTAGAGAATTCACAGCTGCTACACTAACTTCATCATTGTTTGCAACACTTTGTTGTAAACGCTTTCTTAATTCATTCGCATTGCCATCAGAAGATAACCCTCTAATTCTAAGTTCATACTCTACTTCTTTCTTCCTTAAATGGTACACATTCATGTTAATAACAGATATTAAATTCCAGAGAGAAAAAGAAATACTCATATAATTCTAACAAAATATGTAGATAAGACAACCCAAATATCTTCCTAAGATTTCCTATAAGATGCTTAAATTCTTTATTCCTTATCAGGCCCCACGTTGGCTGCGCCAGTTTGCAACACCTGCCTGTCTGTATTGGCCTAGCTCAGGGAGAAGGGGGGTCCAGTTGCTTAAGGGCAGGGCTGAATGGTTGAGGGCACCAAAGGTGCAAGTCCAAGTTGGTACTGAAGTATGTTTTATTTATATTAGGGGCGCCACCTTGTTTACCTTTGTAGCCAAGCAGGATATTAACAAGGACCATTCCTGCAGGAGTAGGACCGCTTTAGTGTAACCTCTACCATCAGATAAAGAAAAAAAAAAAACAAAGTGCTTGTCTGTGATTTGCAAAATAAATTCAATATAAATCTCAAATAAATCTTATAAACACTAAACTCAAACACTAGCCTAGTAAAAACCTGACTGAAATGTTTTTAAGTTGAGCACTAAAAGTTTAAATGGTATCAGAAAAACTCTAGGTAAAATCTAATAATACTTGGTCAAGTTGATAAGCAAACAATAAACAATGTAACTCAGATAAGCTTTGCTCAGTGAATCTTTCTGTAGGTTCAAAATATAATCTAAGTCAGGAATGTGTACCCAGAAGTAGGCAGAGATAAAGAGATCAAATAATTCTGGCTAAATATTCTTTAATCTCTGAGAGTATTAAACACACAATAGGCCAAAATGCCAGAATTAAGAATAAACAATATTAATGAAATTATTTATGATTGACTTTTAAACAAACAATAGCAGCTCACAAATGCTGCTCTATTTCTAAGTATTGACTAAATCAAAACAGCTTACAGAATTCTGTCAAAATGTATAAGTCTTAAGAAAATCAATTTAATAACTCAGAATTTGTAAAACTTTCAAAGTTGGAGCGCTCCAGTGAATATTTGACCATTACCAAAATATGATGTGATTATATGACAATCTTAACCTAAAAACATGATCCCATAAGAATATTACATAAGAACAACACATGGTATAGACCCTGAAATATAGACATAATATTGACGCTGAAATATAGACACAATCCTTTACCCTGAAATATAGACAAAAAAAAATTACACTGAAATATAGACACGATAATTATCAACAAGATTCACAAAATAATACAATATACAAGGGCCTTGCCGTTAAAATTCAATGTAAATCAACAATTCTTAAAACTAAATGATTATCTCCTTTGTTGGCGCTGAAGTCCAGTAGAGTCTATAGTAGGGCTGGTCACTCACACTCACTCTTAGAAGGAAAGTGTTCAAGTCCAGAGAGAATCCCAAATGGTAAGTATAAATTGATTAAAGCAGATAACTCACCGCAATGTCCAGTAAGGTTACGATATCCGGTTCGGACCGATTCGAATTCACGAACCACACGAGTATTACCAAGTCACAGGGTATCGCAAGGATTGAACCAGGGCTCACAGGTCGAGAAGCCACTCCAGAGATACGGTAGAAGGCACCAGCCACAACAGGATCCGGCATAAACCCTCAGCTACTTCAATTGTAAGTCAGCATTAAATCCAACGATGATGTCGGAGGGTCAGCACTATTAACAAATATTAAACTAAAAGTAGGTGATCCTCACTCTTCAGAGACTCAGTTCAGACAGACACAAATCATTTTCAAGGTAATTTTCCAATATGATGCCACAGCCAAGTAGATAACATCGGTGAAGAGATAACGTTTGCCAAACGATAAGGAGGCATTGAAGTGAAAGTGGTCTAGCGTCAGGAATTGTCATGGCACTGGCCAGTATACTGGATTATGGAATTTTCCTTGCCCCTCAACTAATTAGAAGCACAACTCATGACATCAATGTTCTTAATTTGCAAAATTCGACTACTGCAGGCGCGCACAACAGTATGTTAAATTTTTTAATTGTTGGGTGATCAGTCCAACAAAATTTCGAAATAGTGGGCAATTTAAGAATAAAATGTCACAACACTTGTACATCCTTGTACAAACTTGTACATCCTTGTACACACTTGTACAACTTTGTACACACTTGTACAATCTTGTACACACTTGTACAGCCTTGTACACAATTGTACAACCTTGTACACACTTGTACAGCCTTGTACACAATTGTACAATCTTGTACACACTTGTACAACCTTGTACACCCTTGTACACACTTTTACTTATCGTACACACTTGTACACCTTTGTACAAACTTGTACATCCTTGTACACGTTGTACAACCTTGTACAAACTTGTACAAACTTGTACATCCTTGTACACGATTTTACCGCCTTGTACACACTTGTACAACCTTGTAAAAACTTGTACAACCTTGTACACACTTGTACACCCTTGTACACACTTGTACAAGCTTGTACACACTTGTACAACCTTGTACACACTTGTACACCCTTGTACACACATGTATAACCTTGTACACAACTTGTACAACCTTGTACACACTTGTACAACCTTGTAAAACTTGTACACCCTTGTACAAACTTGTACACCCCTGTACACACTTGTACACATTTGTACACAATTGTACACCCTTGTACACACTTGTACAACCTTGTACAAACTTATACAATCTTGTACACACTTGTACAACCCAGTACACAAATTGTACAACCTTGTACACACTTGTACAACCTTGTAAAACTTGTACACCCTTGTACAAACTTGTACACCCCTGTACACACTTGTACACATTTGTACACACTTGTACACCCTTGTACACACTTGTACAACCTTGTACAAACTTATACAATCTTGTACACACTTGTACAACCCAGTACACACTTGTACAATCTTGTACAAACTTGTACATCCTTGTACACGATTGTACACCCTTGTACACACTTGTACAACCTTGTAACCACTTGTACAACCTTGTACACAATTGTACAACCTTGTACACACTTGTACAACCTTGTACACACTTGCACAACTTTGTACACACTTGTACAGTCTTGTACACAATTGTACAACCTTGTACACACTTGTACAACCTTGTACACACTTGTACAACCTTGTACACAATTGTACAGCCTTGTACACACTTGTACAGCCTTGTACACACTTGTACAACCTTGTACACACTTGTACAGCCTTGTACACAATTGTACAACCTTGTACACACTTGTACAACCTTGTACACACTTGTACAACCTTGTACACAATTGTACAGCCTTGTACACACTTGTACAACCTTGTACACACTTGTACAACCTTGTACAACCTTGTACAAACCTGTACACCCTTGTACACACTTGTACAAGCTTGTACACGATTGTACACCCTTGTACACACTTGTGCACCCTTGTACAAACTTGTACATCCTTGTACACACTTGTACAACCTTGTACAAACTTGTACAAACTTGTACAAACTTGTACAAACTTGTACAAACTTGTACATCCTTGTACACGATAGTACACCCTTGTACACACTTGTACAACCTTGTACACACTTGTACAACCTGATACACAATTGTACAACCTTGTACACACTTGTACAACCTTGTACACACTTGTACAACCTTGTACACACTTGTACAACCTTGTACACACTTGTACAACCTTGTACACACTTTTACAACCTTGTACACACTTGTACAGCCTTGTACACAATTGTACAACCTTGTACACACTTGTACAACCTTGTACACACTTGTACAACCTTGTACACAATTGTACAGCCTTGTACACACTTGTACAACCTTGTACACACTTGTACAGCCTTGTACAAAATTGTAAAACCTTGTACACACTTGTACAGCCTTGTACACAATTGTACAACCTTGTACACACTTGTACAACCTTGTACACCCTTGTACAAACTTTTACACATCGTACACACTTGTACATCCTTGTACAAACTTGTACATCCTTGTACACACTTGTACAACTTTGTACACACTTGTACAATCTTGTACACACTTGTACAGCCTTGTACACAATTGTACAACCTTGTACACACTTGTACAGCCTTGTACACAATTGTACAATCTTGTACACACTTGTACAACCTTGTACACCCTTGTACACACTTTTACTTATCGTACACACTTGTACACCCTTGTACAAACTTGTACATCCTTGTACACACTTGTACAACCTTGTACAAACTTGTACAAACTTGTACATCCTTGTACACGATTTTACCGCCTTGTACACACTTGTACAACCTTGTAAAAACTTGTACAACCTTGTACACACTTGTACACCCTTGTACACACTTGTACAAGCTTGTACACACTTGTACAACCTTGTACACACTTGTACACCCTTGTACACACATGTATAACCTTGTACACAACTTGTACAACCTTGTACACACTTGTACAACCTTGTAAAACTTGTACACCCTTGTACAAACTTGTACACCCCTGTACACACTTGTACACATTTGTACACACTTGTACACCCTTGTACACACTTGTACAACCTTGTACAAACTTATACAATCTTGTACACACTTGTACAACCCAGTACACAACTTGTACAACCTTGTACACACTTGTACAACCTTGTAAAACTTGTACACCCTTGTACAAACTTGTACACCCCTGTACACACTTGTACACATTTGTACACACTTGTACACCCTTGTACACACTTGTACAACCTTGTACAAACTTATACAATCTTGTACACACTTGTACAACCCAGTACACACTTGTACAATCTTGTACAAACTTGTACATCCTTGTACACGATTGTACACCCTTGTACACACTTGTACAACCTTGTAACCACTTGTACAACCTTGTACACAATTGTACAACCTTGTACACACTTGTACAACCTTGTACACACTTGCACAACTTTGTACACACTTGTACAGTCTTGTACACAATTGCACAACCTTGTACACACTTGTACAACCTTGTACACACTTGTACAACCTTGTACACAATTGTACAGCCTTGTACACACTTGTACAGCCTTG